GGACCAAGGAGGAGTTGCATAATAAGGTGAAGGGTTTTCTGGATGACATGTTCAAGAACTATTCAGAAATGAGAGGGGTTATTTGTGGAAATTCTTCAAGAAGTGGGGGGAGTGTAGAGCCAAATGACGAGAACGAGGAGTGTGAAAATGTTGAGGATTATTTGAAGAGAAAATTTAAAAGAAAGAGAATAGAAGACAGAGCTGGAGAAACTACTATTTCGGAACTTGAGAGGTATTTAAAGGCAAACATTGAGGATGATGAGGATAAGAAGTTTGATATCTTAGCGTGGTGGAAGAAGCACTCTAGTGAGTACCTGATATTGGGTTTGATGGCTAAAGATGTGTTGGCGATTCCAGTATCTACTGTTGCATCCGAGTCCGCTTTCAGTACCGGTGGACGCGTTCTAGATGCATTTCGGAGTTCTTTGACTCCCTTGGTCGTTGAAAGTTTGATTTGTGGTCAGAATTGGCTTCGATCGAGTACTCTTCCAATTGATATGGAAGAGAAGTTTGAGGAAATTGAAGAACTTGAGCAAGGTATGAATTTTATCAACAATGTGGTTTTAACACTTTATCATTTGTTTATACTATTATTAATTTATTTGTGGTTTTGTTAATTTTGCAGAGTTAAAGGAGTTTTGCTTGGATGATAGTACTATCATGAGTGATTTGGTTGATGATGATTGAAAGATGATATATTTGATATTATCAGCGATGTATTTGATGAATTGCGAAATTGTGTACTTTTTTTTTACGTACTTTGCATTTTTTTTATTTGATTTGGATTTATTGTAAGGTAATTTTGACTTTGTAGATGTAATTTTCATTTTGTTTATTTGATTTGGATTTATCGTAAGGTAATTTAGACTTACTAGATGTAATTTTCATTTTTTTATTTGATTTGGATTTATCGTAAGGTGATTTAGACTTTTTAGATGTAATTTTAATTTTTTGGAATTAATTTTGAGTTTTTCAAATTAATTAGGATTTTTGGTATAGGAATTTGGACTAACTTAAATTTTCTGGAATTAGTTGGAATTTTTGTAATCAACTTTTATTTTTTGAATTAGTTTAAATAATTTCTTTATTTAATTTAGATTATTTTTGTTATAAACTCATTTAAATTTTCTAGTATGTACCTGCAATTTTTTAAAATTTAATTTGATATTAAATAATTAAGTGGGCTAATATTGTATAAAAAGAAGTTGGGCCGACCCTATGGCCCGACCCGACCCAGCCCAGCCCGACCCAACAGGGCCATACAGGGCCAAATGAGAATAGGGTCGGGCCGGATCGGGCCAAATATTTGAGCATACAAGGCTGGGTTTTTTTGGGTAGTGACAGGATCAGGGCTGGGTTTGGCCCAGTTTCACCCCTACTCGACATCGCCGTCAATTACATCATATTGTCCAAACTTGTTGATGGCACAATAGAGCCGGCATAAGCAACTCAGTAGGCATTGCGATTCAAGGACAACCTACACGTACGACTCACACGAGTTGATATAAGATGTTTAACTATTTATTTATGTTATTAGTTATACCATTTACTAACATCAAAATTATTATTAAAAGGATCTTTACACTCTTTAATCTGCCAATTCCGTTGTTTGATTAGCAGTGGGATCTATTTAAACGTGATGATTGCAAATCATGGACAGTATAGAGAAGATAGGTGAGCATTTCCACAAATCTTATCATTAAAAAGAAAATTACTTTAAAATGTTCGTCTTAACTAATTACTGTTATCTATATACAAACAATGAACAAATTATCTGAAAAAATATAATATAATTTAAACTAATTAGAGTGCAGCAAAAATTAAATGATGAGATTTAGACACTTTAACTCTCACGATTAAATCAAAACATTTTTCAATGGAATCAAAATACAATTCCAGCCTCAACTCTCTTGGATTGAGATGATATTGATGAGTAGATTTGCAGCCATCAATTACTCCATATTCATCCAACATAGTTGTCATGTCGATGGTATGTCGGCCGATTGTACCAGGTTCAACTGGTGACGGTCACAAAACCGGTTGGAATGTCACTGGCTAAGGTCAAAACCGGTCAAACCCCAAAAATTTGGTGGTCCAACCGGAATGATAGCTTTCCGGCCCCTGCGAAGAGATCAGAGCTTGCGGAGGGAAGGATTTGGGAGGAAGAGGTTTGGGCGTTTGGCCTTCCATTCAATTTACAAAACAAAATTGAAAATTCTCTTCCCTCTGCTGTCTGCATATAAAAAACCCAGAATAAAAAATGGAGTCCGGAGAAGAGTGAAAAGGGATAATGTTGGTGTTGGGATTGGATTTCTTTTTCCTTTTTTTTTTTTTTCTTTTTCGGGTCGCTCCGTTGGATTGTACTGTTGGGGTTGAATTCTGCCTTCCCATTTGTTAATTTACATTTATATATTAATTTTGAAATATTTTATTAAAACCGACATACAATTGGATAATTTCACTTATAAAACCGGCACACGAGCATAAGCGGTTTGACAACCTTGAGGTCCAACCTTCTTGATGTCACATTAGACAAGGCTTACGCAACTCATTCAAGGACTTAACCTACACAAACAATCACCGGCACAAACGGCTGGGCCGTAACTCACGAGTCACAACTCACAGGCTCAACCGTAAAAGAAAGCGGTAATTAAATGATGTTCATTTTGCACCAATTGTTTCCACTCCTTTCCAACCACTACCTCCTCCACAGATTCACTCGCCAATCTCATTTACTCCCCCCCCCACCCAAAATTGTTGTTGACCTTCAAAATTTAATTCCCGCTAACCGTCGACCGCCAGCTCAAGTTCAGGGCCAAAAACCATGCAAATTAACCTGTAAAGTACCCCTGCCTCCCCTGCTATAAAAACGTACCCTGCCCTTGTCAATTTCAACCACAGACCATTAGCCTGCCATGGAGCTCAATCGGTTCCTGCTCGTGCTCGTCGTAGCTCTAGTGGCTGCTCTGGCGACGAACACAGCTCCGTCCGCAGCCGAAGAAGCGCTCGAGGAAGATCACTTCTTCAAGAAGTACTTCCACAAGCCGGATTTCGACTACCCGAAGCCGGTTCACCTGGACCACCCCTTCTTCAAGAAGTTCTTCGGCCACAAGCCTCACCCGTGGTTCAAGTTCCCGTTCCTCCACAAGCCCGCGCCGATCAAGCCGCCGCCGGAGAAGGCGGATCCCGGCTTCCCCAAGGACGATCCAGGACACCCTAAGGCGGCGGAGAAACCCTAGTTATCGATTGGTCGCCAGGGAATAATAATGATGATGATAATAATAATAAAGTTGTTGCATGGCGTCGTTTCTCTTTTTGGTGTTTTTTAGTTTGTTTACTTATGGTTGGGTACTCTCTTTGTGATACGAGTTGAAATCGTATGAGTGAATAGATCCCTTTTCTTGGCGGGATTAAACCAGTTCTCTCTTTTCTTGGCGAGAGGTTACCAGGGTTTCTTCTACTAGTTTTCTGCCTATCCTTTATTCAATCCAAATCTTAGTTTAAATACATCAACGATGGAACTAACTCAGTCCTATTCCTATGGAACCACTACCCACGTTCTACTAACCCACTAACTACCATAATTATCTCCCTAACACAACTACCAATAATAATTAATCCATATAAGAATATATAATAAATCTATACGCATCACTTTGTTAGGCTGAGCCTGAGAGAGAGGAACCAAGGTCACTGTGTCAGTGTGTACTCATTTGTTCATCAGCATTGTAATTTTAAATCCTGATCGCTTACAAGCTATGAATTTGTGAGTTGTACTTAGGCGGTTCAATTTTTTTTTTTCCTGTTCTAATCAAAATCAAAAGAGTTTCACATGCTTATTGGTTTTCTACTTACTTTTCTGTAACGATTACAAACCAATGAGCCGTTAACGGCTTTGGTTAACACTGAAAATGATTAATAAACAGTAAAAAAATCGACATGGCTTCACACAATTAAAGATTGGTTTTTGATTAACCAAAAATTGATAAGATTTTAACGATCTCGATTTTGGGCAATTAGCTATTTGGGTTTCGTCCGGAACCATGAACTTGCACCCCTTATATTCAGTCTAAAAGTATTATCTTTTAGGTTTTTCAGAAGAAAAAAAAATAGTACAGGCGGTCAACTTTATATTATTTGGGTATGTGGTGGAGATCTGGAGACCCTAATTACTAATTAGGACCCCTATAATACCATTACCAACAAGGTGTTCTTGAACCTACTTAATTATTCGCCTAAACCTTCACCCACTTAATTATTGCACTGCCCGTATTTGTTTGCAATATCAGATATCTTCCTTTCTGAAGAAAAAACGAAAGATCAAGCAAGATATCTGTTTTTCTGTTGTTCTTCCGTTTCCTTCTTCTAATAAAAGTCTCGGTCACCTCCATCAAAAAAAAAAAAAAAGTAAGATATCTGATATTGCAAACAAATACGGGCAGTGGAATGATAATTGATAATAAGCCTCCAGTATTGGGCTGGGCTGCTACTCAACGGCCCATCAGCCGTCAGGATTATTGGATTCGACTCTGAATATATCTAATCCAATCTGGGAACTCGCTAATGCCTGGCTTGAGAAACAGATGCTGAGGGGATAAATTCCATTATAGTCCCCAATTTTGATGGAATCATCTCTTGAGTTTGACCATATATATTATATCATCAAGTATTATAATCAAGCGTGGTTGGTGGCAGTCCTGGTGTAATGTTATAATCGAAGCCTGCCCTTCTTGTAAGAAGAAGATCATTCTGTTTCATTTAGCTACTGATTCAAATCCATGGCAGGCTATCGCACGCAGAGTAAGCAATGCAGAAAGAAAGGAGCCACAGCCGCAAAACCCATGTAACAAAGAAAACTGAAAGGGCACTTCCTATGAATTGCCGAGATATTATTCATCAAAACAAACATTACATTACGCTCTCTCGCTAACTATAAACGCTAACACTACTCCTTATATCACTACCAAAATGGGAGGCACAAAATCTCTTTTTAATCCGACTCAGTCGAACACCACAAGCTTCTTATACTCCTCCCCAGCAATGGCCAACGCCATCACACCCTCTGGATTCACAATCCCATCTCCATCCATGAACATAGTCAGAAAATTCTTCGAGAACCCACTCACCAGCGCCACCCCATTCTGCGTTCCCACCACCGGCGTCGCCGACGAGTCCCTCAGGTTCCAGAACACAATCTCCGGTACCCTGTTGTACCCTTTCTCCCCAAACTTCTTCTGTATCGCCTGATAATCCGTTTCCCAGCTCCTGTTCTCCGCCTTCGCCTCCTCAGCCACTTCCTTTTCCTCCTCCTCCTCCTCGTTCTCGTTCTCGTTCTCGTCATCGTCATAGTCATAGTCATAGTCATTATCGTCATCGTCAGATCCTCCGTAGTAGTGGTGCTGGGGGTAGGAGTAAGGCTCCTCATAAGCCTCCTTGAATTCCATGTCACTGAACACGAACACCCTCTTTACCAACTGATCCTCCCTCAAATTGTTCGAAACCGCCGTGTCGAGCATTTTGTCGAACACCTTGTAGAAATTGGTGCTGCCTCCCCAATCCATCCTCCGGATGAAATCGGTCTTCTCCTTGAGCGTCTCCCCCTCCACCAAATGCATCTCCGGATCCTCACTGAACGTGATCACCTTCCCTTTCCACGGCTCCTCGCTCAGTTCCGAAACCAGCAGCCCGAGCGCAACGCACACCTCCATTGGCGTCCCGTCCATGCTGCCAGACACGTCACAAACAGCAATGCAGTTGCTCAGCTTCCCTTGCTTTTTCATGTCCTCCACCACCCTCGCCCACTGAAGCTCCGCCACCGCCCCACCGTCGCTGTCGTTGAGCTGGGCGATGATCTCGTGCGGTAGCAGCGCCCCTGCTGCGATCTTCGCCTTCCCGGTCTTCACCTTCTCCAGGTACTCCTCGAACCGCTCCTTGTCGTGCTTGACGAACAGTTCCTTGTAGTTCTTCATCGCCACCGACGGGACGCGGCCGTAAGGGAGGGAATTCCACTCTCTTGCGCTCATGTAAACTTCTGGGATTTGAAGCGGTTTGCGGAGAGGGACGAGGATTTCCTTCCGAAGCCTGTCTCGGACGCGGTAAGCGTAGTGGGATTCCTCCATGGATTCGTACTCCTTCTCGCTCTTCTTGGGGAAGATCCGGCGAGCAATCGCCTCGCATATCAGCAAGGATTTGTCGTAGGAGGAGTCGATCGAAGGGCACCACTTGGCCGCCAGAGTGATCCTCGAGTAATCCTTGGGTTTAAGAGCCTCGATGTCGGATTTCAGCAGATCTGCAATTGAATCGAAGAGAAGCCTGTAATTGGAATCGGAATTGTACCGGTTCAGCGCCTTGGCCGCTTTGGCAGCCTCTCGCTCCTTGCGCATCGCCCTCGCCGTTTCCTTGTCGATCGGCTTGGCAGTGGCAGAGGCCTCGACGGATTTCTTCGAGTTCTTGGCCTTCTGGGTAATTCCAACCCCAGCCTCTTCATCCTCCGGCTCTTCTCCAGCCTCGGAATTCTCATCGTTCTCGTCGTGGCGATACATGTGTGCGTATCTCCTCATCCTCTTGGCCATCACCCTGGCTGCTCGCTCCTCTCGCCTCTCCAACTCGGCTTTCTTCCTCACATCGAGGCCTTCGAGGATCCGGTACAGAATCTCGACGAAATCCTTGAAATAGCCGAACTCAGCAATAGCCCTGGCGTTGAGGGATAGGGTTTTCGGGTGGTGGGTGTAGAGCCAGAGCGCCGCCGCGTAGAACCCTTCCTTATCGGACTTGCCGGTACCTCGCACCCCTCGAAGATTGCAGATAAGCTTGAGCGCGGTGAGAGGATCGTGCCCAGGCCAGATTGAGCCGGTCGGCTAATTTGTCGGCGGGGGTGCTGGGGACGATGTGGAAGAAGAAGTCGAGGCAGGGGTTGCCGGAGGAGAGGTAGGTGGCGGAGCCTTGCTCCGACAGGCCCATCGGCGGATCATCCGTCAATCCCAGGGTCTGGCTCTTGACGATGAGGGGTTCGATTGAAGTTTGTGGGGATGGAACAGTAACTGTTGTTTGGGGTTTATCGCCGGACACCGCCACTCCGGCGACTGATGGAGGGCCAAGAATCTTGGTCGACGTCGTCATGATGGAGGGAGACGGCGGTGGTGGATCAAGAAGGAAGCCTTTAGGTTTATTTTAATCTCAAAGGCAAAGTCCTCTCTACTAATACGGCCAAGCTGCTGCCTTTGTAATAGGGTTTCTTCACAAATTAAATAATTGTTTTCCTTTTCGGATTTCGTTTTCGAATCTCCTTAGTCCTTATTATTATGATGATTGACTATTTTACTTGGGATATATTAGAAAATAAATAACCTCTCACTTCCTTTGCGCCCAAGTTTCCTTGAAACCTTGGTCACCAAGCAATGCGGAGAGATAACACTTTTTTAGTTTATACTTCACAATGTTAGTGATTGTCCATTTTTGCCACAATAATTGGAACGTCAAAGTGTAGGTTAACTAGGTCAAGCTTTCGTAATATTGCGAAACTGTCCGTACAAATTTATGAGCGAGTTGGAGACTTCATCTTTAAGGTGAATCAATGTTAAAATCAATGGATCAATCTATTATTCTAAAAAATTTATCCTTTTTAGTCGATACTATCAAAAGGGAGAGCGATCAATTCATTTAGAACTTCAAAGACAAAACCATCGCTAGTGCTAAATTTGTTTGAGAGTTGGAGATCCAGAAGAATAGTCTATAGACAAATTATGTTGTTATACTTCAGCTCACCCTACAAGCCATAATTATCTTTCCCATCCTGCCTTCTGATTCTCCTTTCTTTTGTCATAAGGAATAAACTTCAAATTTGTTTGAGAGTTGGAGATCCAGAAGAATAGTCTATAGACAAATTATGTTGTTATACTTCAGCTCACCCTACAAGCCATAATTATCCTTCCCATCCTGCCTTCTGATTCTCCTTTCTTTTGTCATAAGGAATAAACTTCAATAATAGATTCTCCGTTCTCATAGAAATTTAGTTTGCAACTTATGAAGAAATTTAGTTTTGCAACATAGAAGGAGTTAAATGAGTGGCATACAGCACAACAGTGGCTATTAGACAGGGTAGAAATTACGACATGACATGCTTTATTAAACATTTCCCAGTCAAATTGCTTCGGCCCCTTTTTTCTATGCTTCAACTCATTCTCTGCCCAATTTATCTAACTTCTATATAATATTTAGTCGAATTGCTTCTAGTTTAACTTTTGTTGTGCATGTTTTAGCTATATTTTAATTATAATTGCGTGAGAGGTTCAAATTCTTGAATAATTTGACTTAATTTATAATTTAATACTCTCCATTTTTTAGAGCAGGATTGTTATAAAAATTGGTGAAATATTTATTTTGATAAGTGTCTTTTTACTTGTCATAATCTTCGTTATGTATATATGAATAAATCAACTTGTTACACCCATGTCTCAAGGAAAAACATTTGATCTAACTCATCGGCGGATCTAGGGCTAGGCCAACCCGGGCCACGGCCCAGCCCTTCGCTGGATCCAAAGCTAGTAAAGAGCTTATAAATTTTTTCGATTTTAGGTATTCGATTCAGTATTATTTAATGGTCGGTCGAGTGTTATTTGATAATAAATTTTGTATAGTTAGAAAAATGGTGTAGACGAACATATGTAAACCATTACTCTCAATTTAGTCTAGGAATTCTAGCCCGAATTATACTCATTGAAAAAAAAAACAATAAAACCTAAAGGTCTAAAATGTAAAAGAGTGTATAAAGTTTCATTGAAATAAGAAAACCCTCTAAACAAATTGATTTGTTGGTTGATTCTTCTAGTGTTGACCTTGCCATTCAACGGCTACCATGGAGAGAACATTTTAAGCAATAAAATATGTGAAAACTAATTTGCGCAACAAAATGCTTGATGAATTTCTCGTTGATTGCTTAGCTATTTTCTTTGAGAGAGAGTACGCTATTGATATGGATGGAGATTCTATTATTATTGATGGATTTGCATAATTAAAAAACCTTCTATTACAATTGGCATTGAAATGAAAGAAAACTATTGTTATCATATATTTTTGGGTAAATACTATTTATTAGTCAAACCTTTTAGACTTTACAAATTATTAGCCAAACCTTTCGAAATACAAAATAATAGATAAATCTTTTGTAACACATCAAAATATTAGCCATTTGTCTGTTACCGTGGTAATTTTGTAACTATTTTTTATTTGAAATACAAAAATTTTAAATGTTGAATATTTTTGTTTACAATATATAATATTATATTAAAATGCCGCGCCAGTGCTCTACTTTGTTCTGGATCCGCCGCTGATCTAACTCTTACCGGCCATGGAGTAGGTATGAGTTTGATGTACTTACCTTGACCTGACCTCGTTTCTATGCCTACTCCTTAATATCCATACATCTCCAACTAGAGATACATAGCATGACCTGACGTTAGCCCGCCAGAGGGGATAGCGCAAGGTAGTTTTGTAAGCGGATTCTTGGATTCAACTTTGAGGCGAGTGCAAGCGGTAATTATTGGTATAATGTGAAGTGGAAAATAAAGCATGAGAGGTGCTCTCTCCTCTGGCTTCCAATTTTGTTTGCTCGCCGGTCGCTTCTTGGGTAGGGTCCTCATCGGACTGCTAGAGGCTAGCTTATCTAACCAGGAATGGGAGACAAAGTTCAAATATCCGATGGCGAGATTTAACGACCTGAATACGAAGAGAAGTGCGGCGAGGCTAGGTCGCGCCAGAGTTTGGGGTGTTCTGGATCTTCGAGGTTGCCGACACCCAAAGTCAAAGAAAAGTAAGATGTCGTCTGACTCGTCGCCGGCGGCATCGTTGTTACGTGAACAGAAGTGTGAAGGTTGCGAGCAGGGCCTCATGCTCCCAGCCCCGCCCAAGCGGACTTGTTCGCGTCAAAAGGCTAAACATGGATGGCGGTTCTTTCTACCGTCATCGATTGAAACGGACGATGGCGATTGTTTAAATGGTGAACAGATGCCAGTCGTAAAACAATCGTCAGATGCTGACCATATCGATCTCCATGCTGAGATTCCCCTGGCGGCTGATGATAGCGTTACGGGGGACCGCGCCCCATGTGTGGTGACGACGATGGCAGAGGTGTGCTCCTCTGTACTACCGCCGGTAGCTGGTTGGAGAAGTTTGGTTGATTTTACTCGGCTGAAGATTTCGCCGAAGTATGCAGCAGTGAGCTGGCAAACCGGAGCCATTTTTTGAATATCCCAAGGATCTCGTGTGGAGATCAATTTGGTTTGGTTTGAAATACAAAACTAATACCGCTAAGGAAAACCTAAAACCAACCGTGTTAACGTGGACTCCTTACACCGGGGGGGAGACTCTTGCGTCTCTTTAAAACCTCGCTAACACGAACTGCTTCCAATACCTCACCTTTAAACGGAAGACAGTCGGCAGCTTGGGACGCGATCAACGGCTCGGTGAATAGTCCACGGCGGGAAGGTTTTTTTCTGGGAAGCAGGAAGCATGTCTCACGTGACCGACGACCAGGTGGTTCAATTTTCCCTGGAGGAGGCTCACTCGACCAGGTATTGGAGCTCGCGCTTGGTTCTTGGTAGGCTGTTCTCGGCCAACCCTTTCACGCCCAGAGAGCTGCGGGAATGCACAGGATGGGCCATGGCAAGGAAAGGGGAGGCTTCAAGTGATGGGGACACGGTTCGATCTTTGTGAAATAGTGCTCCCTAACGAGGCTTCTAAGAACTGGGTCATTAAACAATCGCCTTGGGTGATCAATGACTGTAACCTTCATGTTCGACCCTGGATTCCCACGATCACCAAACAAGTGTTCGACGATCTGGCAATGGCCCCGTTTCATGTCTAACTGTGGGATATCAAGGAGGATTGCTGCACGCAACAATTCGGACGGAAAGTGGCTAATGATACGATTGGAAAAGTCAGAGACTGGAGTTTATGGCTGTCAAGAGTCGAGCCAGTGCTTTGTTAAGATTCGAGCCTTAATAGACTTCTCCAAGCCGCTCCGATCGCAAGTCATGGCGACTTGATGAGCCCAAACTCAGGTCTCAAGGGATCAAAGTCGCGCAGACAGCTAGCTTGGTCAAGAATTTGATCTCGAACGAAAACAGAAGTCGACCCTAGCTTGGTCAAGCTCTCACAAACTCAATTTCGGCTGGAAACGAACGGGAACCCTTACACCTGGAAGGATGCACACTCGTTATGAGGAAGCTTTCGATGCAATCGAGGGCGATTCTCGATTTGATAAGCAAGATTCAGCAAGTTTTTTATCGCAACCAAAAACCAATCAAACTCACAAACTCTCAAGTTTGGAATTGGAATAAAATTCATTCAAAACTTGTTCTGCCCAACCCCTTCACGTACCAAGCCTTTTATAGGCAATTACAACCATCATCCTACGCTTAAAAGGAATCAAAACTAATCCTAATTCAACTATAACAATAACTACTACTAATCCTTGTGGCACAAGGAAATCAAGTCTCACATTACAAGGAAATAAAACAGCTCAACATAGTAACTTTGGCCGCCTTGTTCATGGATCAAATGAACTCCAATTCTTCAACCAATGCCTTTACGTTGCAGATTGTGAAATGTAGTTTCATGGGGTACTCGTCTCTGGCCATGGTTCTCCCCCATCTGTCCGGAATGAAGCCCTAAAGTAGTCATCTCCAACTCAGTCCCAGACTTAGCCATTTTTGAACAAAATTCCAGTTTCTGGCTAGCAACTTGGAGGCTTTGGAAAATCATCAAAATGGCTTCTCCTGGCTTATCCAATGCTTCCATCATGTAGAGAAACATCTCTAGTCCAGCCCCCAGATCTTGCCTTGCATTTCCTTTGAGCCATTTGAGAGTAGCAAGCCACCAAAGATGGTATCCTGCAACATAAAAAAGACTTGGACAAAATTCACCCTCCTTATCCGTGATTGATCCTGCTTTTTGATCGATCCTTTGAGGGTTGTAATTCGAGGGGTTTGGGATCTTATCAAGTCCCCCTGTTGAAAAAGCTTTGCCCTCAAAGCTTGGGCCTTCTTCTTCTCAAAAGACCTACAGAATTGATCCCAAACTGGATCCAAAAAAGGCTGCTCAAACAAAAGTCTGACCCAAAA